TTTTTTTTTTTTAATTTTTTAATATTTTTGGACTTACTAATTATATCTGATATTCCTATATTTTTTTATCTTTAATCTAAGTTTAAACGAATTATATTTAAATAAATAATTTTTTCTTTTTATGTTATTCTAATTACATATATATAAAAAATTATTGTTTGTTTTATAATATTCATATGACAAGAACGTAATTATTGATAAATGTTGAGACGGTGTATAAATAAATAATAGTTTAAGCTGAAACAAGTTAAAGAACAGTTTTTTTTTAATATTTTATAGAATTAAAAAAAAAAAAAAGTACTTTATAAAGAAAAATCAATAATTTCTCATTAAATAAGCGATTTTTTGTTTTATTTTAGTAATCAATATTTGTATATTTTAATAAATAAAAACAATAAATATTTTCAAGAATAATTATTCTTATTTAGAATAAAAAGGTTGTTTTTGAATTTAGATTATATAATTTAAATTTCCTCCACCACCAGTTACCTAAAAAAATTTATCTTACCGACAACTAATTTCTTACTTATAACTTAGAAGACTTGGAAGACAGATCAATTGTCGTTCTTTTGTAATGTTTCATGGGTTACAGTTTAATTTTTTTCATAAATATGATATCTAAATGTTTTAATGTGTGTATTTTATTATATAGAATTTACTATTATTTGACATACATTAAGTATTATGTATAAAGTATTAAATGTATATAACTTGTTAGAGAGCAAGTTACTTTTTGAATTTCTTTACAATTATTACATTGGCTACATTTCCGTTCGGATCACTCAGATGACCCCGCCGCAGAAAAGGTTAGGATGCGCGCGAAATTCAAACATACACCAACTTTTTTTTTTTTTTTCGTTTAATTTCTTAGCCACTGCGATTTGTTTTAGATTTTTTTTATACATCTTTTCGGTAATATTCCTTTACCTTTCTAATTAAATACTTTTTTTGTGCAATTTAATAAATTTAACTCTGACATTTCTGTAAATAGACACACGCAACTGACAATTCGTGTAAAAATAAATAAACGTATGCGCAATAGATTTCCGCGCATGAACTCATAAGTTGAGTGAAACAGAAAATATCTCTATCTCTTTAGTTTTTACGCGACGTTGTCAGATGAAAATGCTACTGAAGCCAAATTACACAAAGCATTCATTTGCCACTTGTGGTAACAACGGTAGTACTACCTTAAACTAGAACCGCGCTCAACTCAACTCGATATATGTAGGTATAGTATATTTATCACTTTAGTTTGATATTTACAATAGTATCGTACCGCTGTTTTACATTGGGTCGCAATTAATATCTCATGACAAAAATATGTTGGTGATCTTATGAGTATTGTATCATTTAAAAATTTTTTAAAATGACTGATTCAAATAACTTAGAAAGTGATAATGATCCAGTTGAGTTTGAGGTAAGAATAATATTCTTTGTCATGTAGTTATTTAATATAATTTAATAAGCATAGATATTTTATAATGATAGGTTATATTAGCAGCTACATTTCTTTCGGCTTTTTTACGCGCTTTTTATTATGTTAAAATAATTGACAATATATCGATTAATTACTTAAAAAATAATGTAAGTAAATAAATTAATTATCATTTCAGTTTCCAGTATTATTGTCAACATCGCTGGCCGATAAATTATACATATTTCAGTACCCCATACGACCTGCTAGTAAAGGTTATGACAACACCACATTTTTAAAAACTTCAATAAAACCAGAAAATCAAGAATTTCGCATTGAAGTTGGACTAGATTGTAATAGTGCTAATTATGATCAAAGAAAAGGTGAAAAAATTGCGATGGATGCTGATGGACCATTCGATAGATGTGAGAATGATAAAGACAGATATTTTCAGGGGTATGATGAATCAATTGAAACATGTCATGAATATTTAAAAAATTTTTTAAAGTTTGATATTTAATATGATTCTCATATTTCAGTGAATACATGGATAAGACAGTACTACAATCATCAAGAGCAGTTCCAGATTGTTCTAATTATGCCGTAGGTACTTTTCAAGGAAACGAATTGCATATTACACCTTTAAAGAGTATCGTTCAATTAAGACCGCAATTTAATTATCTTGAACAAAATGAAAAAAATAAAGATGATGAATCAAAGAAAAACGGAAATGGTAAATTAATATTTAGAATTTTATTAAGTAAAATCGCATTTGATCTCTTACTCTTGTAAATTTAAAAAATTTTAATTAACTTTTTATTTCTTCTAAAAATAATTAGAGTCTGATGAAGAGGAAACTAAGGCAATTAGTGTTACATTCTCTCGGAATAGAACTGATGCAAGTAAAAAACTACAAGAACAATCATTTGAAAACCATTCGAAAAAAAGCTTGGAAGAGCTATGGATTGATACTCAATACATGAATGCAGAATCTACTCAAGCCCAGGTATGTAAACAAATTTTTTTGTGTTATCAACAGGAACATACTAAATTTTTATTTTTATTTTACATTTTAAATAATGATAATGATATCGATGACCTCAGTAATAACAAATCTAACTAGAATTTCTATTTTACTGAAGACGAAAAAAATTTTTATCAAAACAAGTAGATGTTTTTGTTACTTAAATATTTTCACTTCCTATTTATTAATATGGGTGATTCTCTGTAAGGATGTTTTTTGGTGTCCCAGGCATTTTTTTATTAGAAAAATTATTATTTTGTTGCTAAAAAAAATTTATTACGAAAGTAAAAAAACATTTCTATTTGGAGCATTGAAAACAAAAATGAAATTAATTTTGGTTTTTTTGCTATAAATTCGTAAACCACCGAAATAACAGTCCCCTGGGCTGTCCCATTTCTAAAATTAAAACTTTAATATTAAATTTTAAGTTATTCGTCCATAATATATAATTTGGTCCATAAGGTTTATAAACTTAATTAGTTAACTAACAATCTTCTTCAATAAAAAGTACCGAAAATTAATTTATTTCATTAAATTCATTAAACCAAAGTTTGTCCCAGGCATTTTAAGAACAGTCCCCTGTCAGAAGTTCAAAGCAAAAAAAAAAAAAATTCAGCGTGTTATTTTACCTTTTGTAAGGTTCATAAGGACCTAACTAGCCTTGAATTAATAACCATAGGGCTGTTAGCGCTTTATCGCCATATTATTTAATGTTAAAGCACTGTTTGTGCTGGAAATATGTGTCTGGGCCACTTCAAAACTCAGTCCCCTGGCAACTATTTTTATTTATAATTTATTTATAAAATTGGATCCATAAGTCTTAATATTATTCTAATTAATGTAAACATTCATTGATGGCTCGAAAAGTTGAATGCATTTAAATAGTTTGCTTGATTTTTCTCAATTTGATAAAAAAAAAAAAACAGTCCCCTGGCAACACAGTCCCCTGTCATGTTATATGGCAAAAGATACACAAATATCGAAAAAGCAAAAATTAATTCGGCTGTTTATTTATTATGATTAAGCTAACAGTTTTGTAGCCCTTGTTAATTTTTTTTCTAATAAAATCAAAAATAATTTGATCGGACAATTTTGTACATATATATTTTGTAAAGTTTTGTGATATCATCGAGGACATAAATTTTTAAAGTTTCACCGTCAGAACATCCATTATAATTAACACATAATAATTTTGATTTTACTCATATTTTTAGCTGACCCGATTAGAAATGTTTTGTTCAATTAATGAATTATACAAAAATAGCTTAGGAGTTTCTTGTAAAGATTACCTTCATATGTTGGCTCAATCTACAAATTCTGATGAACATTTGAATATTAATGGGTCCGCCAATGAAAGATCTTCTCATTATATGTCCAGCCGACCACTTTTAGATCAAATTCGTAAAATTCTCAAAGATGGTAAGTTTACTAATAAAGGATGTTTTTAACTATGATAACAAACAATAAATAATTAAAATTAATTACTTTATAGCAAAGGTAATTTCGTTCAAACAATTAAGATCAATGATAGATTCAAAACACAAAGATACGGATGTTCTAAAATATTTACAACAAGTAGCAGTTCTTGTACAAGGTAACTGGGTTGTTCAAAATGATCTGGTTTTTCCGAAAGATAAAACATCATCCCAAAATGGAATCAATTCTGATTTGATGTGTCGAGCAAGAGATTACATTGTATGTTGCTCAAAAATTTTAATTAACCACAATTAATGTTCTTATTTTTTAATATCAATTTATTAATTGCCATGAATTTTTACAGCTGTTAACTTTTACTGAAAATGAATTTGTTAAAAGAGAAGAAATATCCAAGGTGATCAAGTTACCTGCTGAAGAAATTGAGGAAATACTGACAAATTTAGCAACCGTTGTACCAGAAGACGGATGGAAATTATTAATACCGCCAAACACTGAATTTACAAGTAAACATTCGGATATTGCACATCGGCAAGCTTTGCATTGGGAAACAAAGCGTAAACAATGGAAAGAATTGCTGGATGCACTAAATCATCAACCTCAACGTCAGAGACAAAGATCAATTCGTGAATCTATAGGTTCAGAAAATGAAGAAAGAAATGTTGGACGTGGAAAAAAAACCGTAAGAGATTCCTCAATATCTGATGATGGTGCCGCTGCCGTAGAGCCTGTTAAAACTAAAAAAAATGTCAAATCTCGAAAAGTATCGGAAACAACATGACCGAAAATTCAAAACAATTAATTTAATAGGCCTGCTTAAATAAAGTAATTCATATTGTATAGATAAGTTGTACAGAAATATTGATCCGTGTAATATTCCACTGCCATTCATCATCATAAAACAATAAATCAATACTGATATGGTAACACACATTAATAATGAGATGGAATATAGAATAAATGCTTATTACTTTATAATTTATTGAACATATAAAATAACAACAATAAGAATAGAATAAATGTCTTTTATACTATATATTTTTGAAAGACTGCTGATTATTTCAAAAAGCATTGTAATTTCGATGCACACATCTTTTTTGATAAAATAAACATCATACTACTAAACTCGTATTTAATGTGTTGTATTTTAATTTGTTGACTAAACATAATTAGATAATGTTTAATATATTAATTATATTTACTATCGGTTACTTGTTAAATAATTTACATCAACCAGTTAAATATTAGTACAGTTAGGATTAAAAAATAAGTAATTAATCGATGAAATATAGGTGCATATCCAGATCCACAAAAATCTAAGCTGCATTGATCAGCAATGCTACCAAGTTTATTTTTAAGATACTCCCAATCACAAAGGCCCACTTTGCAACCTTCATATTGCAACGGTTTTTCTTGTAAATAAAACATTACTTGGTTTGGTGAAGCTTTATCGTTGCATCTGAAATGAATAATTTCATGTAATTATATGTATAATTTTAAATTAATTATTAAACGAAAAAGATTATAAGCACTTAATCTAAACGTATTAAAGATTTATTGTATCAAATCTTGAACTTCTCATTGGTTGAATATTATTATAACTTTTTTATCAACTTTTAATCTCTTTTAATATGTTCAAATATTACAAAACACACTTTTGTAATAAAAGCAATAAATATTATAATTAAATAATATTTTATAAATTAAATTCAATGAAATGATTAGATCAAGAATTAATCAATTATTAAACGTTTAAAAAATCAAGTAATCAATTTTCAGCTAACTTCGAAATATTTTACGAGTAAAAAATTTGTTGTTCGTAATTCCCCAATGCATTATTATTTTATTGTATATTATTTCTCCAGTAAAAGCTATGCCAGATGCAATGTAACCAAATAATAAAATAGCGATTAGTTTATGAATTAAAGTATTCGAAGGAATAAACAATTCTTTTACAGAATTTTCCCCTGTTTCACCAGACTCTTCCACCTCTGTACCATCATTTTTATACCATTTTGAATCTAATCCAACTGCAGAAAATATCAAAAAAATTTTTTTAAAACTCCTTCGAAGTACTGAACCTTTCTTCACCAAAAAAGTATAACTGTCTGACCAAAAACATACTTTAGTAAGTTTTAAATTTTGTCTCCTTGATTTTTTTGATGCCAAAAATATTTTGCTCTCCAGTTTACCCATTAAACAAGTTATGTTTTTAAATTTTTCTGCTATAAAAGGACACATCCATATATTTGTTGTATTTACAACTTTTTTCTTCAATTCCAATATAGATCTTTCACTCGTACTAAATGTTTTTCCATAAAGATGTTTTGATATCATTGGTGTTAAAGATGATTTGGCTAAATCATCAAAATTTCGGTACTCTTTTTGATATTCTGAATCAACAGAAACACTGGTTAAGGAAGCATAAATATTTGAAGAATATGAAAATGAAATAAGCAAAAGAAATGTGTAAAGAAGCCGTTGAGAAACTATTGAAGGTCTTTTATTTACAGAAATTCCAAATAATACGCGAAAGATAACAAAAATACTCCAACAGCTTCTGTCGAATTTCAGGATAAAAGCTGGTATCCAAAATGCAATCACTATGGTAGTAGAAATAATAACAGCTTCTATCGCGCTTAACGATAAAGGGATTTTATCTTCTTTTTGTATCGGCACCAGAGCACATAATTGATCAAAAAAAAGTTCTCCCGAGCGATATGCGTTTTCGGTTACAGTTTCTGTGTAATGAGGATTGCCGTGAGCTAACACATCTATTATATCTGACTCTAATAATTTGAAAAGCTCATCCACTGAACTATTTCGAATGTGTTCATAGGCAACCAAACGATGCAAAAGTTTCATAGTAAAGTTCATTTGTGACGCCAAAGTCTTTATCACCAAGATATCCGGTCCAGAAATATTCACAGCTTCTAAATTTTTATTGTAACTTATAAATGAAAAGGGTGGGTCATGAACAAGTGCAACTTTAATTGGATAACCGTATAAATTTTTCATAACAGACGGAAACCACTGAGTTTGCGATGAATAATATTCATGTGTAAATGAATTTAAAAAGGGATTAAACTGATGAATCATAGGCGTTTTAGCCGAACAATCGTTTAATATTTTGAATTTTCTGACATCACACTTTGGTATCTCTAATATTGTAATATCAATTATTTGTTTCTTCCAAGTATACTGAAAAATTATCTCTAAATTTTCTTTCGTTTCTACGGATATAAAAATTATCAAAAATTTTGTTATTCCTTTCAACGTAGAGAGTTCTTTTAGTAAGTCGATCATATCCATTAAAGATTTGATGTCAGTGAATTCAGAATCTCGTATGAGTATGAAAAAGGTTCCTGCAGTGTCACGTATTCCATTGTATATTGAATCATCATTCACTGTTGATGATAGATTAAGATCGAGTCGCAAAGTAGGACGATTTTCAATTGTTTTGACTAATAACTCATATATCCATGGGTTGCTTACGGTTTTGGATTGATTTGCGGATTTAATTATCATCACTTGATATTCATCGGTACTAGTTTTTATATAATCACATAAACTGGAAAGCCATTCAAGTTTTTCCAAATTGAAACCTTTTAAACAACCAAAAAAAATGTTTACATACAAGATACCGGTGATAAATGAAATTTTGGTCATCACGGAAATTAATATAAATTGATTAACAAAATTATATTAAACTTCCATAAATGTTGAATTACAACTTGCAAATACAAAGTTTGTCGGAAGAATTATTTATATCACTTGGTGAAATTGATTTTTTTTTGTTATTTCTGGAAATTAATATGTCGCAGAGCGTCGATCTTGAACGAAGATTATTTTTTATTGATCGATAAGCTTATGTCAAGAGTAAAATGTATATTTACAAGAAAGTTACGGTTATTCAACAGAAGTGTTTTACGACGCGATATGATCAAACTGATCCACATTTCATGTCTATGATTGAAAGATAAATTATTATTATTATTATTATTATTATTATTATTATTATTATTATTATTATTGTTATTGTTATTGTTATTGTTATTATTACATCACTATAATGCAATCCAACTCATCATGTTTTCATATTTTTTTTGAAATTTTAATATTTAATTACGATAATGGGTTTCTTTTGCACTTTGCAAGAAGTCGCTAATGAATAAACAGGAAAAAATAACAACTTAGTGTGTATAGATATAATTTATTTGTTTGATGATATAAGATTAGGTCTGAATATAAAACAAATAATATACCTTTTGTTAACGTAGGAAGTTATTATTATTAAGTGTCATCAGATATTTAATATATCCAATGAAAAAAAACAGAAAACAGTTAATATTAAAGACAATTCTTGAAAACTTCAAGAACCTCTGGTTGTTAGAGGCGCTCAAAAATATATATCCGAAATTATTGGGCTCAAAAATATCATTTTCTATTTAGTTTTTTATTCTAAGAACTTAAAAACCGTAAAAAAACCAAATTTAGGTGTCAAAAACCATGACGATGTATGATCTTGAATGAAACTTTCTATAAAAAAAAAGTTATTTCTTCTTTATGTGTTCTTATACAATGACCAAAAATGCAATTTTACGACGATAAAAAAAATTTACATACATGTTCATATACGACTGGATATAAAATATACACTAATAAAAATGTAGATTTTTCTTTAAATTATTTTGATATTTAACGAATTTCATTATTTACAATTAAAAAAAAAAAAACAAGTTTTTTTGGAATAACTTTTGAAATGCTGTACCCATCACTTCCAAAATATTATCGACTTCTTACCTTCAAAAGCATCATCGATTGAAATATTTTTAAAGAAGTATTTTTTTTACATAATTTTTAAATTTATAATCGAATCTTCTTGTAGGTAGCAAGTAATATTTTTGGATATAAAAAACTGCGTTGAATTCTTCAAACTGGGTCAAAATCGGTTCATTTGTTTGGGAGATATCGTAATTCAAAATTATAAAAAAAAAAAAATAAATTTTATACTAGTAAAATTACTAGATTTTTTAGTTAAAAGAGCTCGTTTTTTTCACAATTTTGATACTATATAAAAATTTAAGGTCTTAGCTAACAGCATACCATACTTACACAAAGTTACAACTAAATAAAATCAAAAATAAATTGTAAATTACCTGTAAAATACAGCTATAAGATTAGAATTAAAAGGTCCCAAAAATGACGTTCTCCAATGTCGTTTTGTCATCTCTTTATAATTAGCTGACGAAATTGATTGTTCATCTTTTCCTATACCCATTGTACTCAAAAAACTAAGCATTGACATTGTATGAGTAAAGTGAAAAATTCCTTTCGGTTTTCCAGTAACGTCACCATGCTCAATTTCTCTGAAATAAATTATTTTTTATTACTACTTATAATAAACTTCAACTTAATAATATAAACATTTTACATTTTTCAATTAAAACAAGGAAACGAACCGAAAATGCTTAAACATATCTTGTAGAGGAATACATCCAAGTTGAGCATTGACTTCACGCCCATAACCAGCTCCATAGTAATAATTGATATCTTCAGAGTATTCCAAAATTTTCAATTCATCTCCACTAAATATTGCACACCACGGAGATATTCGATTGACAGCCCACGATTTATCATAACGACACATATCGTACATCAAAAAAATTGCCTCTAAATTTTAATAATATTTAAATATATATTATTCTTATTAATTTTTTTAATTTATAGAATGCGTGACATACCTTCTGATAAAAGGTACTTGAAACCGAGTCTGTCACTAATGTTTTGAATAGTGTTTGTTAATTCGACTCTCATCGAAAATTTAGATCGTTCTTCTAACATATTAGGATCTAATTCGTCACCATCTTTCCAGCGAGAACAATTTTTGTACGTCTGCAATAACAAAAATTATGAAATTTGGTTATTAAATAATAGTTTTTTGTCTTTTGTTGATTTATTATTCAAGTAAGTTTTGTTATGAACCTTTAACCACTCGTCATTATTTTGAGTTGCTAATGAGGCACTAGCACCAGTTCTATCAAAAAACTCTTCTGTAAAAGCGTCAAGACTAGATTGAGTACGATGATTTCCCGAGTTACTAAACTTCAATTAATAATATTATCAAATTAAATTAAATGAAGGAAACATATAAGAAGAAAATAAAATAAAAATAAATATATATAATACCAAATAATTTTGTGATGTGATATCAGCATAAGTAGCTTGAAGAAGCTCAGGAAAATCTGACCGAAGACGACGTGCAAATAGCTTCACATCTTCTGTCCCTTGAGAAGATAATTTTTTAGCATTTTCTTCTTTCATATTTGGATCCGGTGACCAATTTCTTAAGTTATCTAAATCTTCATTGCACATGTGTCCAGCTGAAAATAACTTTAAATATATTTTTCTTTATTATATAATTAGTATTTATGTAAAAAATTTAAGATTACTTTTCTTTTGTTGGTGATTATCTATTATTTGATCACGAAATTTGACTAGTGATCGCAATTTTGATATTTTTTCGTTTCCAGGATAATGAGCGCCATGACGAATCATCGTCCAGATTTGTAATGGTTGACAATCTATTAAAAAAAAATTAATGTAAATTAAAATCAATCACGTTAATTTTTTAATTTTCTGTGGTCAAAATTAGGTGGAACCACAATTCTGAACAATTTATCTAATAATTAATAAATTTTTAATAATACACTTACTGGGTATCGTTTCAAGTCGTGACCTACCACCAACGAAAGTATAGGCAGATTTAGTGCCGAAATACAAATATGGATCATCGTCATTTACGTAGCATAAGTCAACTTCGCGAGATAAAGAATCACTAATCAAAAGTGCAATAAAAAGTAGGACTGATGTCAATGATAAATACATGGTGATGAAACTGTTGTGTAAAAACACTGTCTTGAAATTTCAAATTTCTCTTTTAGCGACAATACGGTCTTGCATAAACTATTTAGTAGATATTTATTACTCAGTACAGTATATTTATGTATAAATCTAGTAGTAAATAGATGTATAATATATCTTTGTAAATTTGAAAAGATTCTAGAATACAAAACAAACTCATGCAACTGAATCGATTTATGAATGAATTATTTACAATACTTGTGCACGTATTCTTCGGTTGATCGAAGGGTTGTCGAAATTAGAGGTCATGAGAAGCTAAATTGGCTTTGTTATAGTTGGAAATGATGTTTAATTATTTCCCGCGCACGAACTTATTAAAGAACTTATATTGAATAGCTATCAATAGAATTAAATTTATTTTTTTTATGAAAATTGTTCACAGTACGAATTTAATTAGACGTGGCATATTTGATAAGGATAAGTAATTCAAATTTTTGAAATTTGATGAAATTAAGTTTTCTAAAGTTATTTCTTATAATAATAATGAAGAACAAAAACACGTATTACCAAAAACAAAAATTAAACTAAATTAGCTATTAAATGTTTTATTTTACAGTAATAAACAGAAGCTTTCACTGCCAGTGTCAATAACATCTATGTAACTAGTATACCTGCTGGTCACACCTTTATTTTTATATATTTTTTTGCTTACTCTCATAAAATCATTGCAATTTAAAATATATTTATATTGTACACAGTACCGTTATGAGGAACAGTAAAAAATATGAGACACAATAACTATGACATCATCGCGATCGTTTGTTCCACAAGTACTTTATTCTGATTTTATAAAATGAAGTAAATAGATACTGAGCCGATCATATCACCGGTACCGAAGAAACTGACCGTGTTCTTTCATTACATGTTACTTCTATTCGTTCTTAACGCTTCAGCAAATACATGTATATTCATTTACTTGGTGTTTGAGCATGTGTGTTTACTTAATACACATAATGTGCAGAGTATTGCATAAGTTCATTTGTCCTTTGTCTGCTCATTAAAAAAATATTTCTTTCTTTTTCCACCATTGCTCCTATTAGATTGATGGTCAACTGCATTCACTAGATAAATATAATGATGATGACTGATGACTGGTCAGTGATTAAAAGTGCTTATGAGTACTGTAATTTTACTTCAGATCTTCGAAATTGTAATTTTCAAATTTAATAGTTTATCGTTAAGATATAATCTATTAAAAAAAAAAAAAAAAGGCGAATTACAACTTTGTAAAAACAATATAATATAACTAGGGCGTATTCGATAGAAATATGATTAATTCTCCTTACAACTGCGAGTTACTACGACTATTCGGTCTAAAAATATTATGTATAAATAAATACACTAACGATTGATTTTTCTAAAAATTTTTATTTTTATTAAAGATTTCAATAACATTAAAATTTAATTGTTTAAACATTATAGATTTAACATTGATTGATATAAAAAAACTATTATTGTACATAAATCTTTTAAATATTGACATAATCTAAAATTTTTAATTATTTAAGCTGTAATCTTTTTGTATTGTAGTTTCGATTTCTGCAAAAAGTCTAAATTTAGGTCGAAAATTAACGAAAGTAACAAACACGTAATTTAGAATAAGAAACCTAAAATCAAAACATGATTTGTTATGAAAAATGTAAATGACATATCTTTCATTGCTAATAACGAATATTTAAAAAGTGCGATATTGAAGTGATATTTATTTTTAATGAAAAAAATTTAACTTTAAATGTATACCTTCTATGTTAGTTTTGATATAAAATATTCGATATAAAATGAAAAAATCATCAAATCATAAAAAATTTATTATTTGAAACCGATTACAATTACAACATTTAAACAGGTTTTGAACAACCGTAATTATTAAATAATTAACAAATTGATAAATCTATAAATTAACAATTTAATCTATTTTTTACAAGTGATTTTCTATTAAATTTCGCTCATTCTCAAAACAATTATCTGTACATACACATTCATTCGTGATAAATACCACCAACGAAACAGTAAGCGAAAAAAGATTGATTTTCAAAAGTATAAGTAGAATAATTATCTTTCTTAACATCCCATAAAAAGCCACAGACAGAGTCTATCGATTGACTTGTTTTTTCTACTATTGTCACAAATACGACAATTTTATACCTAAAGAAATAATGATTTTTGCATTTGATAAATATAAATAAATAATATTAAATACATACCTATCAAAATGTAAATTCATAATTTTTTTTCTAATTTCCGCCGCTACTTGACTGCATAAAGGCGGTGTTGTGTTCATATCATAAGTTATGTCTTCAAAACGATATTCCATGACTGTTCTAACTATCAGATCCACTGGATCAATTCTGAATGGCTGATGAGCATCGAGACGGAATGAGTTTTGATACTTTGGACTCTGTCAATAGACAACAATGACTTAATTTGAATGTTTATATTAAAAAATAAAAAATTCAAAACTTCATTTAATATCAAATCTCTAATGAATATCAAATTATAATTAGCAAAGCAAACCTGATCATAATCAACGCTATTTCGTCCAGATGATTCAAAAGTTGTCGGCATCACAGATGTACGTAGTTAATAAAATAATCGAAAATAATATTGGAAATTCGTTTAATTTTATTAATTTATAAACCTGGAGACCAAACTGTGGTTAGGTCGATCGATTTGTACTACTGTGACACCGATTACATAGTAGTTGTTGTTTATTTTCGAAAGCGCGCGATTCGTTTAATTTTCAATTTGCGAACGTAAATTTTTAAGTAAATAATAACATCATAAATTATTTATTTTAATTAGTAACAAATTAAAAATTATAATGTCTTTCTTACCTCAACAGCTAATTTTTTCTGCACATTTGAAGAACGTTGTCGAAGCTTAGCTCTACTTTCTTTGTTTTCCAACTACAATAAATTCATTATGATAATTTGTAATTAATTCAAAAAAATAGTAAAATTTTTTAATTTTTTCAACTTTAATAAAAACAATAAATAAATGTTGACTAACTATGTGACTTAGAACAAAAGCCTAAGTATACATTAGTATAATTATAATAATTAATTTAATATTAGAAGTAAAAACAAAAGGACTTACGCATTTCCAAAAACTGATAGCCATGATAAGCGCGATTTAATCGGAGCTACCAGCACCTTCGTGAGTCACGAGCCTTCTGGGTTCTAGATTTAAACTATTGGAGAGTCAGAAAGAGGAGAAGACGCCAGAGAATTATTCACCCTCGTTTACCTAAATAACTTGCATGTAATATGTTTCACAAAATCAACTGACACGTGTCAAAATTTTATATCGTATTATTACGTGTTGCTGCCGTCCATCTTCTTGTTAGTATTAGAAGTGAATTATGCTATTTTGAACATCTAAGAAATATTAATCAATATTTTATGAGCGATATAAAAATAGTGAAACTAGTGTAAATTTTTTCTAAAGGAAGGCGAGGGTAAAGATGAGAATTTTATTTTAACATATTCATGCAGTAAAAATCGATTACTTCTGTATAGTCTTTCTACAATAAGTAAGGAAGCATACATGTAATCTATTTTCTAACACATTTTGAAATCGTTTTATTCGCATGTTACATAGCTGTCACGCCAGGAAGCGATAACTGAAAGTCTGAAATTTCTATCCATAATCTTCGTTTTATTAAAATTCAACTTCTTGATCAATATGTCATTTATGGTGATATATATATATCATCAAATCATCATAAATAACATATTGATCAAAAAGTTGTACGCACTTAGGAAGCTAAAAAAAAAAACAATTTTTCAAAATTTTCTCTGGAAAAGCTTTTCATCTGATTAATATAAAAATAATTATAGCCGTAACTTTGAATGTTATTAAGAAATTTTTTGTTGATAAAATTATAATTATTTTGACAGCTTCTGTAAATGATCTTCGATAAGTCATATAGAAACAATCTCTTGCAGTGAGTAAGATATTTTCTGTTCGAATCATCTAAATTCGAAAAACAAAAAATTTCAGTTAATGTAACAGATTATTTATCAATTGATTAAAAAATCAATGAAACTATCTATTGAAATATCTAATAAAACTCTTCTTATACACATGGAAAAAATTATATAGCGAAAAATAATATTTTAAACAATAATAATGTGATGTAATGTAATGTAATGCTTTTATATTTGGTTGTAGGACTATGTCCCCTAACAACCATAATGTTTATACAAAGTTTGGACAGAATGCACTTAGATGTGCTATTAATAATAGTGAATGTAGTAATAAAAAAAAAAAATGTATCAAAATATAGTCTCTTAATAGCTAGGGTAAAAGACCCCATTAGTGGCGGGGACCCATTACTGACACTTTCTTTAAATTTGGTACTTATTCAATTAATGAAATGATTAATTTCAATAATGAATATATTATTTCTAATCTTTAAGACCTTTAGATCAAAAAAATTTTTAATTTTTATTCCAAGTAGAACATTTTTTCATCGAAAGAAAAAGTGCCACTAATGGGGTTAAAGGTGCCACTAATGGGGTCTTTTACCTTATGTAAATGTATGCAAATCACAAGAATCTGAACATATTTTATAATTTATTTTATTCTGTGCTCAAATAATACAAGAGTGACGTTGTTGAGAATTTTTATAAATCAAACTATATAGTAAGTAATCAATGTATCAATCGTTTTAGTCGTTAGCTTGCCTTTATGAACAAAATATTCTTTTTGTCTTCCTTTTTCTTTTTCTTCAATGGTTTCCACATATCGAATACTTCTTTACCAGTAGAAACTTTTTAAAAAAGCGCCATTCGGCCACACTCGACATGGATAGGTAGATTTCTCGTTTGATTATTGACAAAAACACTATTTAAAAAATAGGAATTGTAATATATGAAAGTTATTTAACGATAAAGCTAGAAATTACTTTTTTTTTAACTTTCCCAGCTACGAAATAAATTGAAAAAAGTATTAAAAGGCGATGAATAATAGCTCAAATTGAAGATAATTATGTGAATTTTAAATTAAATGTGATAGATTTAATCTTTTACAGCTTTAAATTATTTGAAGAAAAAAGACCGAAATACGTTTATTGAAAAAATTTTCAAAATTACGGAATCATTTGAAAAAATCATCGAAACTAGCCAAATGATAGTTTGAATTGAAGGTGATTAAATGAAGTTTAAGATAAATTTGATAGATTTTATCTATCTTTTACATCTGAAAAATTACTTTCACAAAATATACAAAATTCAAAATTTTTTGAAAAGGAAAAAAATTTTCAAACACCCACAACTCGTAAACTAACCCGCCGATTTTGCTCATCTTTGAACTTGATCTTGGTATTGATCCACAGAACGAGCCCACAGAAATTCATAAAGATCGGTTGAGAACTGTGGGCGCAATCCTGCTGACATGGCGCGTTATATCACATATATATTATATACATATATAAACTTTTGAGCCAATGCCAGTTTTCGACATTACTCGATGAAATAAAATATATTATGACAAAATTTTTTTAAAATTACGACATGAGACCGGCTACAATAGATAGATTTCTAAAGAAATCTACCTAAAAAGTGTCTTGGGGGGAGGGGTTTAGTTCACACAAGAATGTATATTATTAGGTAGATTTCTTTAGAAATCTATCTATTGTAGCCGGTCTCATGTCGTAATATTAAGAAAATTTTGTCATAATATGTTTCATTTCATCGAGTAATGTCGAAAAATGGCATTGGCTCAAAAGTTTATATATGTATATAATATATATGTGATATAACGCGCCATGTCAGCAGGATTGCGCCCACAGTTCTCAACCGATCGTCATGAAATTTTGTGAGCTTATTCTGTGGAT